CGGGTGACGGCATCGAGATCTGGATGTGGAGTTCCATCCATGCTGCTGGATCAATGACGAAGGCTGTGTCCTCTTTCAGCCTCTGGAGCTTCAGAGAGGTGAAGGCGCCTTCGAGACCGGTGGGCGTGGCGGTGGCTGTGAGCGTCGTGGTTGTGCCTGGCACGGAGATAGGGGCAGTCGTTGTTGGGACAGAAGATGTGGTGGGCACAGCGGTAGCGGTGGTAGTCATAGCAGCTGTGGACGATGGGAGGCTAGAGGTCCATGTAGCATTCTGGCCCGGGATAGGATCGCTTCCGAGTTGGATGGAGAACGGATCAGAAAGGAATAGCTGCCAGTCTTCAGGCTTGGAAGCATCGCCGAACATGCGCAGAGAGCGTGTGAAGATGCGGTATCGTCCAGACGGGATAGCAGTACCGTTCGCAAAGGAGCGGAAAGTCACGTAGCTGCCCAAGTTGAAGCGTACAACCTCTCTCATGGGGAAGTCCATGTACCCTCCATCAGCAAGGGGCTGAGATCTGACGGACCCAAGCCAAGCCTTCGAGCCTGAACCGTGTTGCGGCGGATACGCGAACTGCTCCGTCTTCCAGTCAATGCCAACCAAATCAACGGAGAACTCGTAGGTGCCGTAGCGGAAGGCGAAGTATGTCTCAGGCGAGTCGCCATCAGCAGGGTGGTACGCCTTGCCTTGGTAGTCGAGTGGGTACAGAATGCCATCAGTATCATCATAACGGTATGACTCTGGACCGTGATGCAGCGCAGTCCAGTTGTATGTAGACGCCTCGATGCCAATGTAGGGCACTGCCAGTAGCTCATCGTTGGAACCTGCGAGAAGAATCTTGCCACTCCACAGAGCACCGCTATCAGGAGCGACGTCGGGGGCAGAGAGGGTGATCTCGATGTCCTGAGTCGCACCTGCGGCCACTATAATAGTCTTGCCCTCGGCTAAGGATCCAGCAGCGGAAATCAAGGGCGGGTAGTAGGTATTGGGATACAATAGGCTGTTTCTAGATGAGACAGTCGAAGCAGCGATGTGCGAGATGTTGTAAGTCACTTCCTCCAATCCGGTGTTCTGGATGCGGATAGTATGAGTGTTGACACGGTTGTCCGTGTCGTTCAGGGACAGAGTCGGCTCGGAAAGAAGCACGGTGGTGAAGTCAAACAACTTGGCGGCATCAACAAGACCCGCGCCCTGCTGAGCAAGCGACGCAACCTCGTCAAGAATCTTGCCATCGATAGACTCAAAAGCAGGCAGAGCCAGAGCAGTAGACGTAAGTCTACGAACAAACTCTGCCCGGTCCTTCTTTGCATGCGCATACCACAGAGCAGCAACACCTGAGATGTAGGGTGTTGCGAACGAGGTTCCGGAAGAGATGGCAAATTTGCCGTCGGGGAAAGCGCCGTAGACCACACCCCCAGGTGCGGAGATAATGGGAGAGAAGTCGTTCTCGTAGGTTGGACCCCACGATGTGAAGGTGGAGAGCTGACCAGCGCTGGGGACCTCGGCGGCGAAAGCAGCCGGTTGAGCATCTGCCTGGATCTTCAAGTGAAGGGTGTAGTTCTTAGCAATCTGCTCGGCTGCCCAGTCTCCAACTGAGGCAGTGGTGACAGCCATAAGCTTGAGTGTGTCAGACCAAGCGACAACGTCAGCCATGTAGTAGGCGCCCTGGTTGTAAGAGTCATACAGGATTCCGTAACCGAATCCAGCACTGGCGATGGAGGAGTACGATCCAGCTGGCTCGCAGACACCACGTTTTGCGAGAACAGCGGTAGAGTCAAGGCCGGAGCCGGCAATGTTGCATGAGTCGCCCTTGTCGAGAACGATGGGCACATCAATAGTGCTATTGAACTTGTTGCCGTCAGAAGTGACATACGAGATGTTTAAAGACTGGCCGCCGGATGAGACAATCGTCGCAGGCCATCCCAAGGTCTGCGCTGCCTCGACCGAGCCGACAGAGACGACACCGCGGCCAGCAGCGGGGGAGCTGGCGAAATACGGTCCCATCGCGCCCGAGTTACCAGCAGCGATGATGATGAGTCTATCCTGGGCAATCTCACTGGCAACACGAGAAAGAACCGAGTTGACGTAGCCAGTGTTGCTGCCGATGGAAACGGAGATAATATCGCAGTCATCCGAATCAGCAGCAAGCATACCCTTGAGAACCATGTCGTTCGATGTCCCATCCTCGCAGCCAAAGACCTTGTACATGTAAATCTCCGAATCGGGCGCAACTCCGGCAAAGTCCTGGTTAGAAGCGGCGATGATGGACGAGACAAAGGTTCCGTGACCAGCGCAGTCCGTGAGGGCGGTAGAGTTCTCCTCGAAGAGGTTCTTTCCGCCGGCGATCTTGCCCACCAGAGCTGGGTGCGACACATCTACACCACTGTCAACCACACAGACGCGCTGACCGGCACCGGTGATGTTGCGATCGTGAAGCTCGCTGACGCGGGTAGCGATGTGAGGGTTCCATTTCTTCGTTCCTGGGGTGACTTCGAATGAGACGTCCAGGGTGATGGGCTGCACTGGCCAGGCATTGGCGACGCCCGGCAGACTCTTGATGTCGTCAACGACGCCGGACGAATCGTCGTTTGCAATCTCGACGGACACGCCCTTGAAGCGACCCGAGATGGCGGAGAAGTCCTCCTTGACGGTGGCCTCGTAGCCGAGAGATGAGATCTGACCGACAATGGAGTCGCCGACAGAAGAGTCCTGGCGGGTGCTGGGGCCGGTCGAGTCTTGGAGCTCGACGATGTACCGGCCGGAAGCAGCGTCGGAGGCTGGGGTTGTGAGGCGGGTGCGGCCGCTGGCGAAGCCACCCTCGGCTGCTGTGACCGGTGAGACGGCGGCGGCTGCGACGAGGGCCGCTTGGAGGATTCCGGAAACCCGAGCCATTGTAGTGAGCTCGACTAAGATCGGCAAGTTGACAATCGATCTCGGAATATAAACGAGAGACAAGCAGACGGGAGCTGTTGCTTGAGCTCTTCTTCTAGATCAAGGCCCCCTAAGGGTCCATTCCCTTCTATTTATCCAGTTCATCATCTTTCACGATCCCGCAATACGGGATGGGGCTTTGAAGTAGTGACAGGGTCCCACGATACGAGCTGGAACCGCACCCATTAGATCCAAGATCACAATGCTCAACCAAATTGCCTATTAATTACAGTTTTATGGGCCAGTCAACCGATAACCGGAGCGCAACGGCAAACGTTCAGGGTCGTAAAGACGGATGTAACTCCGAGGGCTTGGCAGGCACCGTGTTTCCCTTGACTTCTGCCCGTATTCCCGAAAGCGGCAGGTCGTTGAAAAAGACTCACTTGTAGGAAGGCCGGGGGTGCGAACTTTATCAGCTCATCTAATCAATCTTTGTGGAGCTCGGCATGTAAACACCACGCATTGCAGCCATTGCTAAGGGCTTTGTGAGATGGAGACTTTCGTGTTGTCTGCACGTTGCGGTGGGATGGGTGGGAGGCCGTGGAGATTTGCCTTGATTCGCTTAGCCCTGTGGTAAAATAAGCTCAACTCGGAGGGCCGATGTTACCATGGCTGGTCACTAACGGTGATGCTCCGAGCTCCGAGAGTGGGCTTCGAATGAGGAGTTTGAGGTGATTAAAAGGTCCAGACCCAGGCTTTGGGTGATCACTTCTTCGAGTGAGGTTGCTCATACATCTTGGTTTTGGCACAGCATTCGGGTTGCGGGACTCGGGAGTAAGCGGGGCCAAGTTGCCTTACATGAGTCTCATCGAATAGCGGAGTGAAGGCTGAGCCAACCTCGAGCACCCAGAGATCATGAAAGTCAAGCTCATTGAAGCCTCTAGTTTCTCACTTACTACATCAAGGCTTTGAGGTGTGAGCTCTAGCCGTAAGACTGCAAACCAGCAAGAGCTCAGAGGTAATCGAGGGATGCCGAATGGGCGCAGTGTTGGTACATGTTCGACTCAATTCGCACTTCGTCTTGCATCATTTAAATGATGGAGCTGGCCAGGACGCCTTGCGCTGAATTGGAGTCTCACTTCAATTCATGTAATCAACGTTGAATCTAGGCAATCACCTCACTTTCATTCAAGATGCCGAGTGTAGAGGAGTATGAGTGGGTTGAATAAGGATCTGAGGAACCAGCTAGATTGGGCGGGGCGGTTCTATCTAGATCTGTTGTTTGAACAAATCGATTATCCTCATTCACTTCCGTAATTTTAATGCACTTGTGGTTATTGTACATGCGAATCCATCTTCAGGTCAGAAGCGGGGGGGCCAGTAACACGGAGGTCCTGAGGGGACATGAGCCCAGTGTGTATTAAGTGAGCCAATCTACACACTCTGAGGCTGTTCGATCCTTGAGGCAGAGTTTTTTCTGTATTAGAAAGAAGACAGCACTCCCGCGTTGTCGAGACCTTGGCCTCTTCGGCAGCCTTTCTCAACCTCTCGTCGGCTCGGGTCACTAAGAAAGTGAGACGTCTGCAAGAAGCTGGTTACGTGAGACCAGATGAGGAGATTACTTTGCCAAAGCTTTCTTATGTAAATGTGAATTCTCATCTCATTCTCTAGTATCTGGCTGTCTGGTGATGAATCCTACACATTCACAATGTTCATTGATGGTGAATGAGGTGGTTCGCCATCTTCAATAAGAGTGAGGGTGAGAGTGAGGGGCGATCTAATCCACATAGTATGCGACCTATTTAGCACTGTACTTTGGGTGGAACTTGCACACAACATACAGTGCCAATAGGCTGGCGAAAGGCGGCAATCAAATCAGGCAACCAGACTAAGAGCTGTGCCGCACCCGCCTGCCGCCGCCGCTTCTTGGAGGCCGCTCGCCTCTTCCTCGCCCGCCCGCTACCTCACTGCTCTCTGAATTCTCTCTTTCTGCCTTATAACCATCTCCAACATCAAATGTCCACGAATTGACTTTCGTTGAGTCCATCCTTCGTGGTTCATTCGCAGTATCCGCTGGCTCGGCGGCCGGTGTAAGTCAACCGTAGACGACACCACCAAGTCATCTCTCACCATGCCGCTTCCTCGAGAGATATTCAACCTGCCACCACCGAAGAGGGTTCGACGACAGTCGCCTACCCACCAAGGAGCTTTGTTCGCTGCAGGCGTCGCCCCATCAGATGCTGACAAGTTTGCCTCAATTCCGCCCTACTGGACGCCTGCCGAGGACTCTTCCTCCGCGGACGTCTACCATGGGCCCTCCATTTACGGCGATAACGCCTGGTCCCAAAGCCATGGAATCGGTCAATTAGATCAGAGGCTCGGGAAAGCCCTGCCTATGGACGATTCATTTGCGTTCAACTTCTTCCAGCCTACTGCGCAGGCGCCCCCTCCCCCAGCATTGAGCACAGTGTCCAGCGTCACATATTCTTCCTCTTCCATTGTCTCCCAGCCTTCATCTGCTGGCTCCGGTGTATCACCCACACAGATTGACTTCCCGTATGAATGGCCGACTACAAGCACTGCCTCGACAAAGCATTCCACAACTCAAGGTGCCGCTGATAGGTCTACTGATTCTACCGCCTCTACCGCCAGAGCTCAAAGCCGCTTTATTTGCTTGGGCCACCAATGCGACGAGACTTTTGACCAAGAACAAGACTTGGCCTTCCATTTCAAGGCGGTCCACACTCACACATGCAACTGGGGAGGCTGCGAACAACCCAGCTTTTCTTCAAAGGACGGTCTCACCTGGCACGTCAAGCTGGAGCATCTCGTCGTCTGCCCGGCCCCTGGATGTACCGAGAGCTCGTTCCAGACCAAACAGATCCTTGAGAGTCATTTAAGATGTGCTCATCCAGATACCGAGGGCAATTTCAAAGGGAAATCGAAGGAGCCACTTTCGAAGCCGACGCCTCTCGCCCAAACCATGGCTATGCCATCCTCGTCTCACGATACCAGCAGTTTCCCAGGACTATTCCAGAAAGATAGCTTGGAGGAACGAGCTTTAAAGCAGATACTTTCCGTCACGGTATCCAAAAAGAAGTGTCGAAAAAAGTTGAGGGATGTTGTTGAGAGGAGGTATAGAAGAGAAAGAGCACGCAAAGGTGACTGATCCCAACTCCAACTCACGAGGCCGGTATTCTGACATCGGCAGGCCAAACTTCTCTCGCAGCCGACAGCCCAAGCGACTTGTCCCGGCCTCTCTTGACACAGTTGCTCAATAACGCGAGTTTCCCTTTAGTGTGGGAGCATGCAGTTCTACCATTTCTCTCCGAGTTCATCCCAAAATGGTGCGGCCCCAAGCACAGCATCGACGCCCCTCGCGGTAAGACACCAGGCACGCGGCAAATCCGCATCACAATTGAAGGCGAATTGCCCTCGCGAGCTCGTAAGATCATTATTGCAGTACACGTCAGGGACCTTTTACCCGAAGCCCATCGAGACGGCGTCAAGTTACTCTTCCTCAAGGGCTATGTTGGACGAAGTGTCTGGGCCAGAGGGTTGAGCAAGGAGATGCCTGATGATATCTGCATGGCCAAGAACCCATACTACTTCAAAGACCCGTGCATGGGCGACAGCATTGGTATCGAAGGCGGTGCAGAGTTCGAGGAAAGCACGTCAACATTAGGACCCTGTCTGCTCATCGGTGGCGGCAGCTACTGGCTTGCCAACTTCCACCCCTTCGTGGAGGCATACCAGAACTCGAAGTCGGTCATCGTTCAACACCCATCCCCCAACGACCGAGCCCGTTGTGTAGAAGAAAAGCACGATACGCTGCCTGAGACAGACTTTGCTCTAGGTAGCCTCGCCGCCACATCGGGACTCGACCTGAAGACGACTCGCATTTCACATCACCCCTACTGGGAAGACTGCGATAAGGAGCCCCCTCTTATCGCGACTGATTGGGTTCTCGTCGCTTCCAAGACCAGTCAAGCCAATATTCTCCGCCGATTCCCCTCGGAGACCATGCCTCTTCTCAAAGAAACACCAATCAAGACAACAAGCGCCGTTGTGCCAAGTGCCACTGTAGTGTCGACGGGTCGAACATCTGGCCAGCAAAGGGGCGAGGTCTGCGACATTCCAGCGTACGTCAGCGCCGAGATGAATGGTACTGGCAAGGCCACGCGCGAGTGGTTTATCGAAGAGCCGTGCCCTTACGACGACGAAGAAGGGTGGATTCGCGGAGGCATAGGCGTGGAGGGCGACAGCGGCGCTGCCATTATTGACGCTGAGAGTAACTCCTTGGTCGGCCAGCTTTGGGGTCGCAATAGATATTGGGGTAGCGGCCCTCGCGTAACGTATTTCACTCCCATCGGCGATCTATTTGATGATATTCAGGAGAGATGTGGCGAGCAAGCTCGACCTCAGCTCCCGCAGTATCGGGATGAATCAGAATGTTATCCAGTCTACCCCTCTTGTCGACAGTGCTACGACCTACGAACCTACCTCGACAGCCGACGGAGTTCCCGCGAGTCACTTCGGTCCATGATCGGGCACAACGAAGGCGATCACGGAGACTTGACGTCGATTGGTGGAACATCAGAGCTGGCGACACCAAAGGACCACGCACTCTGGGCCCGGACCTCTGGCTTCGAGGAACTCGGGTCCTCATTTACCAGTATCATGTCACCTTCCGGCGCTCACCCATCCTCCCTCACGCCACAACCAGGTACCCCAGGTATCGTAGATATCAAAAGCCCGTACGCCCTGACCCTGAGCGCAGAGGATCTCTACGGAGACGACTTCACGGGGACGACAGAACGCGGCTCCAGCAAGCGAGCAGCCGCAGTTCCATTGGCACGAAGTTCAAGTCATAGTACCAAGAGGCAAAGATTGCATTGATTATGCTATTCCGAGGCCGATTGATATCTCCGGTATTAGCCAGGGAATCCGCCTCTCGCCATCTTCTTTGCTCTTTGATCGCGGCGATTGTGGTTTGCCCGAGAGCTCTTGCTGGCTTCCTTTCTCCTCCGCGCAGCCTCGGTCTCCTTTTCGCCAGTAGGACCGGCCACATTACCGCCTCCACGGCCTCCGCCTCCTCTTCCACCACGGCCGCGACCTCCTCGTCCACGGCCGCCTCCGCCACCCCGTGAGGAGCTGCCACCACCATTTTCAGAGTCCTCTGCGCCAGAGCCAGCCGGACTAGCTCGCCATGCCGTTGACAGAATCTCGGTCTGAGTACCGGTGAATGCAGCGGCGCCGCTGTACTTGGCCTCGAGACGTCGCTTTTGACCCGGATTCCTCACCAGCATCAGTGCCCAACCCTCAATGGCCTCATCCGTCATGCCAGTCTCTTCTCTCAACTTTCCTCTCGCCTGGCCCCTCCTTGTCGTAGCCTGCCTGTCAAATACACTGGGGTCGGCTTGGAAGGCTTTGTACAGTGTTTCTTCGCTGGCATCCTTCTGGCCGTCGGCCTCTTCATTGGCGTTGTCGACCGTGCCTCCAACATCGTCTGCGTCGTAGGTGTCGTCACGTTCGTCGTCATCGGAGTCGAATGCAGCGAGTGCTGATAAGATGGCTGCCTTGTTTGGTGCAGTCGATCTGTCCTTGAGCACGTCGTCGGCAGTCTTTTCGGGTCCCTTCTTTCCAAAGTGGAGCTTAGAAACGTCCAGCTCCAGTCTGTCGAGTTCATCGTCGTCAAACACATTGTGGCGTTCAGGTAACTGCGGCGGCGTTGGTCTAGGTTCAAGCTGGCTTTTCCTTCTTTCCAACGTGGGGGATCTATGATATCGTCAGCCTTACCATAGTCAAGTAAAGAAACAGAGCAAACATACAACGGAGCAGAGCGGTCCATCGCCGCAAGGTGCGGAGGCAATGAATCCTCTAGTAAATGAGCCGTAACAATCTCCGTATTATCACCGTATTCGTCAAACAGCTTCGAGATGAACCCTGACCCCAGATCCGGAAACAGATCTTGAATGAGTGATATCTGACTCTGCCGGTGCATGTGCAACTCCGCCTGAACCTGTCCCTCTTCCGCGACATCTTTGCCCTTGCCCTTGTCGACCTTCCTCTTCACGAGCCTCTTTGGCCGCATCATTCCGCCACCAGGCTTCTTGAATCCCTCCAGCGCTGAAATCCGTGACTTCAACGCCGTCGACGCCGCGCCCTTCTCCTCGGCCCTCTTGGACAGCTGTTTCAGCACCGGCGTGACGGTGACGAGCTCAGCCACGAGGGAATCGTTCACGTTCAACGGGCCAACCCTATGCGTCTCTGCAGCGGACTTCAAAGAGAACAGCACGTCAGCCACCATTCCGAAGCGAGGCTGCTCGCCCTCCGTCAGGCCTACCAGGCAGAGGTACATCGTCGCGACGAGGACCTTGCGCAGCGGCGGGTTCGTAATCTTGAAGGCCGTGACCAGGCCGTCGAAGAAGTCTGAGCCGGCGAGGAAGAAGGATGCGGCGTGTGGGGAGGCGTGGAGTAGATGGTTCAGGTTCGCGAGGCGGGCCTCGAGGGATTTGAGGTCTGCTTTGAGACCTGCTTCCATGGATTGCGCGAGTGACTTTTTAAGGCCTGCTAGGGGGTGCTCGAGGGCGCTGGCGTGGAGGTGGAAGGCTTTTGAGAGGGTGGTGGGCGCATTTTTGCGGTAGAGTCTTGAAAAGGCGCAGAGGAAGGGGGCTGTGATTAGGGGTGTTGGGGGTGGTGTTGTTGAGTTTGTGAGGAGGCGGGATGTGAGTGTGAATGACGACCTGAGTAGGGCCTTTGATGTCGTGGAGGAGCATCCTAGGATGGGTGAGGGTCCTGCTTCGGCGACTTGTGTTGTAAAGGAGGAGAGGAAGGCTGGGATGGAGGCGTCTTCTTTTACGGCGGCGCGGGAGAGGTCTTTATCTGAGAGGGCGAGGTAGGCTTGCGTGAGGGCCGTCCAGGCTTCGAGGAGGGCTTCCCATTCTTGAGAAGTGAGTTTTGCGCGCCACGATGGCGTGGGGAAGGGGGCCAGGGGCGGGAGGGAGGTTGCCATGATTGCTGGAGCTCTGGGGTTTCGTGAGATGGTGAGTGAGATCTAATGTGAGATGTGCGCTGGAACTGGCGGGGTAAGATGCTCTCAGGGATGTGAGGAATTCTCTCGCGGGATGCAGTAATAGCAGAATGCTCTTAGAAAGAGCTCAACGTCGGGTCGTAATTGCGCATCTGGTGAGTTTTGGTAACGCGCTCGGAGGTGGCGATGAGGTGAAGTGAGGCGGCTGGCCGTGAGATGTCGTTCTCTCAGATCTCGCCGGATGATTCATTCATTGACGTCGGTGCCTCTCCCCAGCCGGGCCATGCAGTGAGCTTTCGGCGGAGCTGCGAATGCGGAAGTGGGTACCTTCATGGTGGGGTTCGTTCTTTCTCTTGTGCCTGTTTGCTTGTTGCCGCCGCAAATGGTCAGCTCAGAAGATACGTATCTTTTTTCGAGGTCCCAGTTTCTGCGCTAGGCCTACCTAGGCTTAGCCATAACACTCGGTAAAGCCCTACTTCCCAAACCCCACGAAAAAAAGTTCGCGATCGCAATTCCCTCCCACTGCAAGCTCTCAGATAGCCCAAAAGATCATCAGCCTTCATCACTTTGCCGCAACCAAGCCGTTCGAGTCGTGAAGGAAATTCAATCTCTCCCTAACCTAACCAAACACCCAACCGAACCTCTTCGTTCAACAACACTTCAAAATGTCTTACAACAAGGACAAGGACTTCGGCGAGGCGCCCAAGACGCACAAGATCCGCATCACCCTCTCCTCCCGCAAGGTCCAGTCCCTCGAGAAGGTCAGCGCCGAGCTCATTGAGCGCGCCAAGTCAAAGGACCTCCGTGTCTCCGGCCCCGTCCGCCTGCCCACCAAGACCCTCAAGGTCACCACCCGCAAGACCCCTTGCGGTGAGGGTTCCAAGACCTGGGATTGCTTCGAGATGCGCATCCACAAGCGTCTCATTGAGTGAGTTTTTCGCTGTTGGCATAAAATGATTGGAGCGAGAATGCTAATGATTGAACAGCCTCAACGCCCCCACCGAGATCGTCAAGCAGATCATCATCAACATCGAGGCCGGTGTCGAGGTCGAGGTCACCATTGCCGCATAAGCGATTGGTATCCAAGCCCCGAAACAAAAATGTTGTAAAGACGAGTTGTTGTTGTAGGAGGGACGAAACGGTATGGGCTTCGGACTTGGGAATGCTGCGTTCGCTAAGCCAGCGACGAGGGCTGGCCGAAAGGTTTTACACCTCAACGCAGCTATGCAAAGGCGGCGGGACGAGTGAGGCGGTCTAGATACCACCCGAATCAACTGATGACCTCCCATTTTTAGTTCCTCTATTGTGATGTGTCGTATGGATATGCATGAAGCCCAGTTGAAGTACCTACTGTGATCTTGGCCATATTGCATGTGAAGTCAAGGGCGGTGGGCATGAAGGATTGCGAGTGTCAGGATGTTGAGGAAGATACTCAATGTTTGGGAAATTGTGCCCAACTAGAGCGCAGTATGAGCACAATAATATCACATGCTCAGCCAGATACCCAAACCCACGGTCACCAACTGATCCTTTTTGAAATCAACGCCGTGTAATGCCAGCCCCCTTTACACAAGTACAGATAGACCACTTTTGGCCCTTGCATCGTCGCTTCTGTTCCCGCCCACCCCCTTTACAAATCCCAGAGACAGAACTCTCTCTTAGGAGGCAACTCGGGCATAAGACCCTCAAACTTGCCAGTCTGCGTAAACGACTGCCACTGCTGCTTCGACTTGTCATCATATAACTCGTCGGGTAGCTCAGTATCCTTGTAATAATTTGGCGGACCATCCGGGAACCATATCCTCGTCCACGCGCCGTTGAAGGCTCGAATGCCAGGCAGATTGCCCTGGTAGGTGACGGGCTTGCCCTTCCAATTGGATAACCGCCCGTTCATGTCCTTGGAGCTGTAGCTCGACACTGGTGGATGCTGCCTCGAGCTCCCCGGCGGGTAGGGCCCGCTCCCAGGCGCCGCCGCTTGTTGCGCGGCGGGCGGAGCTGGTGCAGCGGTCTGCCCTCCAAATGGGTTTGGCGCCGATCCGCCTGCTCCGAGGCCACCGGACGGCTGGCCAAACGGGGACGCATTGTTCTGTCCAAAGGGGTTCGTCTTCTGGCCAAGCTGAGCTGGTTGTCCGAATCCGCTGGCAGGCTGCGTAGGCTGAGCAGTCGCCGCCGGTTGACCGAAGGTGCTGGGCTGCGCATCGGTTTTCGCTCCAAAGGGGTTGGTCGCCGCCGGCTGCGCTTGAGAAGGCTGACCGAAGGGACTGGAAGATGCAGTCTGAGCCGGTTGTCCGAATGCACTTGTTGTCGCAGGCTGTGCTGGCTGACCAAACGGACTTGGGTTCGTCTGGGCTGGAGCCCCGAAAGGGTTGGCATTTTGTGTCGTATTCTGCGCGGGCTGTCCAAAGGGGCTGGGACTGGCCGTGTTCTGCGAAGCCTGACCAAATGGACTGGATGTATTGTTGCTGCCGGCGCTGGCAAACGGGCTGGCACCGCTCGTCGCGCCTCCAAAGGGGTTCGGCTTCTGCCCAAGAGCACTTGCTTGGCCAAAAGCGCTGCCGCCTCCGCCAAGTTGAGATGGTTGGCCGAAGGCACTGCCCCCTGATGCCGCTGCTGGTTGTGCCGGCTGCCCAAACGCAGGCGCGCCGAAGGGATTGGGCTTCTGACCGAGGGCTGAGGCCTGGCCAAAAGCCGATGTGCCACCTCCCAGCGCGCTGGGTTGTCCAAAAGCGGATGTAGGTTGCGATGTTTGCCCAAAGGCTGGGGCGGAGCTACTCGTGGCACCGAACGCCGACGTAGGTTGTGATGGTTGACCGAATGCTGAAGTCGGTTGCGATGGCTGCGATGTTTGACCGAAAGCTGGCGCGCCAAAGGGATTCGCACGTTGCCCCAGGGTCGCAGTCTGGCCAAAGGCGCTCCCTGTTGAAGTTCCACCGCCGCCGCCAAAGGCAGAAGTCGTGTTCGTGTTGTTAGAGGAGAATGGGTTTGACGTCGCTGTGTTCGAATTTGACGAAAAAGGGTTCTGCTGTGAAGAAGCGCCGCCCCGTCTTCCAACCGCAAACTCCCCTGTAGTCCCGCCTGGCGATGTGCCTTGCTTGCAAATGTCTATCCTGTTGGGGTGCGTTTGCTCGGCAGAAATGATGAATTGAATAGCTCCGTCAAGGTTGCCCACCGCCGTCTTCATTTGTTGTTGGGCTTGCTGGTATAGCTCTTGTGCTTGATTGAGCTTTGGATTCCGTCAGCTGATAGACCTGTAGACCTGAATAAGGTGACTTACCGCTTGCTGGGGATTTCCAGAAGCTTCCGCCATCATGTGAACGAGTCTCATTTCCTCAAAACTCTGCTCGCGCAAGTTGCCTCCGAAGAGCTGTTCCGGAGCGTCCCTGCCGGGGCCATAAGCGGACAAGATCCATTGTGGCGCTTCCGACGTCAAGTCTTTCTCAATGGTCTCCTTTGATAGCGCATATGGAAGTCCTGGTCGCATGTGAGTAGAATGCTTCGTTTAAAACTCCTAGGAGCCGCGATTGTTTGGGCGAACCATCATTGTTGTTGCCGCCTCGATTGAATCCTCCTCCTGTGTTTTGGCCAAAGGCTGCAAAACGGTTGTTATTTTGCGACCGTGGGTGCTCGAATCGGCAATTCTCTACGATATCACGTATTAGCCTCTTCGATCCGAGTTTGCGATCGAGACCCCTCGGGATAATGATGGGTGCACAGCGAGTGACGTACGTCCGTACCTGCAGTTCCCCTGCTCGTAGAACTTGCAGACTACCATTCTGGTTGTTGATCGGGCGGTTTCGCAATGCAAATGGCGTGATGACAGCGGCTATGTCATTTCGTACGTGTTAAGAGCTGAGATTAGCCAGGGATTCGACGGTGGACAAAGAATCAAGCTCTTGTAATCTCCAGAGCTCGTAGATTGGGCGTCGAGAAAGAAATCATTGGCAGCCTTTCTCAGCCTTGCCGGCGCGTGCCCCTAGCGCGCCGTGGTAAGCCAATGGGAAATACGTACTGTGCGTAAGCAGTGGACAAAGCGCAAGCACTGTCCTTGCCTCCTCTGGTCCAGACAGGTGCACTTACACCAGGACCATTCAACATCAGTTCTTGACTTCCTCAAGAAGCATTCGAATTCATCTATTTGGTCGAATCAAGATGACTCGGAGTTCTTTAATCGGCTTTCATCATCAACAAGATCTTCCCGGCCTTTGAATTTCACCTTTATGTCCCACCGAAAATCGATTCTACCAATCCTAGGAATTGAGAGCCAAGCATTTTACCTCGCTTTCGCAAGGACAGCGTTTTTCTAATTCGTCGACGCCACAATCTTCTCCATACGAGTCACATATTCAAAAGCAAATCAAGAATCGAGATCATTGTTTCATTACTCCAAATCGGTCATAGCTACTCCGTGGAATCCATCTATCCAATAACACCAGCAACCATGGGCTTCAGCTGCTGCTCAACATAGTTGGGGTTTCTCCACTCAGACCAGTCCGCGTTCAACAGACCCCACGACTCCTCAAAGTTCTGCGTTCCCTGGCGGATGTAGTAGCTACCCACCAGAACCCAGATGAAGAAGCTGCCCTGGATCTGGGGCAAGTAGGATGCCAGGCACGTCGAGTACGTGTTGAGGTATGTATTGTCGTTCATGTTGAAGCCAAACTCGGTCAGCGCCACGGGGAAGACATTGACCGTCACAGGGTCCGATGCATTCATGGCCTGGAAGCCCTTGGTGTACAGGTTGTTGCTCAAGCTCGCGCAGCTGCCGATGGAGCCCTCGTAGTTGTGGATCTCGAGAACGAGCTTGTCGGCGTAGCCCTGGAAGTCAGAGAGCTGGAACGTGCCGTTACCGGGTGTCAGCGCAGTACCGCGGAAGACGGGTGCGACGGTAGTGTCGTAGTTGAGGCCAGAGAGGAAGATGAGAAGGCCAGGGTTGGCGCCGTTGATGGCGTTGGTGCCCTCCTGGATGTACTTGTACCAATCCTGCCAGTTGTACGAAGCAGCAACCAGCTCGGCGTTATCCGTGGCCTCGCGAAGCTCGTTGCGGAGAGACATGGCGACGAGAGCAGTCCACGATTTTCCCTGGCGATGGTTATCAGCTTGGGTTCAACAATATTCTGCCTTCTTTCGATTCACTTACATGGTTGGCCATGTAGGTCAGGCCGCGCACCCATTTGGCGGCATCGAACTCGCGGTCTCCCCACCAAGTGTTGCCGTCGTTTCCAGAGCAGCACCACTTGCCGGTGGACATGTGGTTATCGAGGAGGATGTAGACTTCCTGCTTAGCGCATTCGGCAGCAATGGCATCGTACACCTTTGGGGTTATGTGTCAGCGGGTGTCAAATGTCGCGGCAGAGCTGATAACTTACCTCGAGACGGGTGGTCGCCTCCGTGAAGGAAGGGTTGTTGGCCAGAACCTGAGCGAGGACGGCGGTGCCGTTGGTCTCACCGAGGCCGTTGATGAAAGCCGTCTTGATGTCAATGTCCTTGCCATCGTTGGCGTAGATCTGATCGACGAGCTCAATGGCGTAGGTCAGACGGATGGCGTTCATGCCGATGCTCTTGATCTTAGACACGACACCCTCGACGGAGAGGAACTGCAGACCCTCTGGGACCATGACCTCGCCGTGGCCGGGCCAGTTGGTGCCGGCGAACTGGATGTGGTTGCCAGCGGCATCCACCGCCCAGCGACCGTTCGTCACAAGCGGGCCATTGGGCCAGCTGGTCTGTCTGGCCTGGGGAAGAGCGGCGCAAAGAGGAGCGACGGAGCAGGCGACGGCCAGAAGGGAGGTGAAGAACTTCATGATGTCGGGCAGTTTTGACTGAGAAACCGACGCGTCCGAGATGGGAGCTATCACTACAGAGAAGGTCGCAATGGCATCATCTTGCGGGAACCATTGGGATCTTATACGACCTCAAAAGTTCACAGAGCATGCAGCTCGGAAGCATTCCCGCTCCAATCGAGCACTCGCCGTTGCTACCTCATCCCACGGACCGAGAGCGGGACCTGCAGCCAGACCAGGAACGCGACACTGACATCACGAGCATTGGCGGCAGTAGCTTAGCCTTGGGAGGGTGCAACGTTCCTTGAATCAACGGTCGCCATTGTCATGACTAGTCTTCGACCGCCTCCCTCAGGCCGCAGCGGGGCATCTCTCGGGTACTCCCTCAGGTCATGATACCAAGTTGCCAGGGTAGCGACGAACCTCGGGGGCGGCTTTCGCCCGAGAAGACGAGCACAGCCGGGGCAGACATACTCTTGGGAATGGAAGCCAAGGGTCCAAGATTTACCATTGAGTGGACGGTAGAGAGTCAGGCGATGATTGTCGCCAGGAACAGCAAGCTTGTGCCGGACGGTGTGAGATCGGCTCCCGCCTTCTTCGAGACAAGCTGAAGCCTGGACAGATTCTTGCGTCCCGCCCCCGCATCGCTTGTCGAATATGCCGATGGGGAAAACGACGGATCCCGGCTCCCCAGCTCTGATGCCTTTACTACGTAGTGCTGGTGTTCCCCACACTCCGAACCCCTCTCATCATCGAACCGCTCAACGGCCCAAGCACCCCCAAATCGGCCGGTTCTGCGCCATCACAAGATACTAGTTTGGATGGTTGATGTTGCATGGGAGTGGAGCAGAGAACTTTCACCGTACCCCGGCTCCGTGATCCCCGGAAGCCGAACGAAACAAAGTCTGAAAAGATACGAAAGAAAACAGACAATAGCGGAGACGACGTGCCTGACAGGGAAATGCCCGCTGCCGATCAAGAGCCGGACCACAAAGACTAAATGTGGCAGTTGGGGGAACAGGCAAGCGGGGAGAGCTTTCGAGCGATCTGAATGGCGCGCAAGTTCGGACGGACGAGTTCTCGCGAGGAACTCTCACCAGCATTTGGCTCCACCGCGATACCTTGGAACGAGGAGGTGGATTCTCTGCCATTATTGGTTCTCATCATGCACGAGAATCAACTGACACGTGCTACTAGATTCTCTCGACGCTCGATGACGACAACTTCACAAACTAGCAGCTTCGAAGGTGAAGCAGTGGGGGTTGTCTGACCCCAGCTTCAACCAAGCCATCCTCGGTAGAAACAACAATGTCGACCTCTCCGGCCTCGCTCTCACGCCCTCGCCCTGAACTCCAACAACGGTCCATCCTTCATACTCGTAAATGTGTCGTACAACTGCATCTCCGAGACCCGCCTCCGGCCCTCATCCAAATCTGCGCGTCCCTCAGCCGGGTCAAGTACGCCCACCGCCTTGCGCACGTCGTACAAGAACAACGTCCTCGCCAATGCGGTCGACATCTCAGCATACGCGAGCCCCTTGCCAATACATCCTCTGGCTCCAATCGAGAACGGACAAAACGCGCTCTGCGCCCTCGCCGTGTCGGCCTCGGTCGTCTCTCTGCCCCCAAACAACGGGTTTGCCGCGCCGACAATCCATCGCTCGGGAACGTAGTCGTACGCTGAGGGGAAGTAGTCCTCGTTGTGGTGGATCGTGTAGTGCGGTGTGCCAACGACGGTTCCGGCGGGAATATGCGCGCCGTCAATGGTCATGCCGCCTGCGAGAACCTCACGCGGGAGCAGGCCACCGACGGAGGGGGACAGGCGCATCGCTTCGTCTATGCAAGCGCGGAGGTAGGTGCATGTGTTGATTGTCGCGCCTTGACGGATTTCCTCGACTTCGGAGAACTTGCTGCGAATCTCGGCTGTTGCGCGCTGGAGCGCCGCAGGGTTGCGGGAAAGGTAGAAGAGGGTCGCTGCCATGGCTGTTGACGTGGTGTCGGCGCCGGCGATGATGCTGATTTGTGTGTCAGTCTTGGCTCATATCTCTGTGCCTCGAAATTGGCCAGGAGTAGTATGAACTTACAGCAAGTTCGACTCGCCCCAGAGCTCTGGCGTCGAGAAGCCCAGTCCAGTCTCCGGGTCACGCGCCTTGAGGAGGTAGTAGAAGAAGTCGCGTCGATCCGTATCTTCGCCAAGCTTCGTCCGCTCCGTCAGCTGCGCCTTGCTGTAGGCCATATACCGCGCGCGTCCAGCCGCAATGGTCGGGAAGAGGAGCTTGTCGAGCTTGAGTTTGTCGACGATGGGCATGGTACCGCACTGTCGTCCGTCAGTTCATGTTCCTTTCAGACCACTCCGTCGACAACGTCTACTCACAAGAAGATGCCTCTTGGTCGCCGCAGCGATCAAGTCCAACGCAAACCGGTTATCCGGCGCCTCGAGCATATGAAACGCTTTTCCAAACGACAAGTCTCCCAAGATATCCATGGCGAGGTAATTACACCAGTCCGTCATATTCTTGGGCGTCGACCACCCCTTTGTCTCAGCGGACGCGCCGCGACCAATCTCGGCGGTGAAGGAGCGCACGTTGCCGATGATGTAGCGCTCCATCTCCTTCATGGCCGAGTCGGAGAAGCCGTGGGCGAGGACGCGGCGCTTACGGGCGTGGACGTCCTTGTCGCGGGCGTTGTGAGTGTTGGGCGCCGGGTGGACGAAGGCGTTGTAGAACTCTGCCTTGCCGACGTTGGAGCGGAAGCCGTAGATTTCCTTGAGAGCCGTGGCGGAGTTGAAGGAAACTGAATTGGGCCCGAAGCGGACGATTTTGCCTTCGAGGGTGTTAGTGATGGTGTCCCCATGGCTCCTGTCTCTCTTCTTTCCGTCCTGCCAGCCTCTTCTGCTCACTCTGGCAATGTCTTCCCCCGGTTTTCAAAGGGTATGAAGGATGAATGGGGAGGGTGCTGAAGATGGGTAAGTGACGTACCGTATTGCTTGTGAAGCTTGTAGAAGTCGAGATGTCTATCGCCATTCCAGGCGTGATAGAGCTGGTACCCATCCGTGACCTTTGCGATGAACGGTCCTGGATACTTTGCCAGAGGATGGAAGAAGATGCGGTACACGACGATACCAGCGACCTATATCGTTGACTGTCAGATCGGGTCCATCCATTCTCTTGCCGACGCAGCTGGGGCTTCGTAGAGCCGCTTCTTGGCGTAAATGGTGACATTGATGAACTTACATAGAGCACGCCTCCCACGGCGGCGAGGCCTAGCCAGGCCCAGAGATGACTTGAATCCATGTTCACTGTTTCCTTTCCTCTCAATTCAACGGTATGGTGATGTCAAGCAGCAGCCGTTTGTCTCTCGCCGTTGTGGGTAACCTCCACACAGCAGTGAAACACTCACGAAGCCGTGAATATAGTTCGATATAGTAGTATGCCAAACACCAAGTTCGGTCCTTTTCCCGATGAAGTCTTTCCAGCTTTCTTTCTTTCTTCACAGCAATTTCACCTCACGTCTCATCCGTGTCTCCCGGCGAGAAGGAGGGGTGCACCTCTCTTCTTATCTGTCTTACACGGCTCCTAACCCTTTCCCGGCCTGCTACCCATCGGCTTTCCACGGTCCAAGACGGGAATGGATGACGGCGCTGGCGGGTGTGCGCTTTTACCCCACGCCGCAAGGACCGGGCGGGCCTCCATGGACACGAAATTGTAGAAATGACAATAGGCGGGACGAGTACGAGGCACTGTGCCAGCGCCAAAATATCAGCTGTAACAAGTGACACAGTCCCCATGCGCAACACGTCTTACCTGCCCTAAGGTGCCTGGCATGGATTACTACCAATACCGGTACCTACTTAGGTGTGCCCGTAAGAAAAGAGGCGGGCAAGGGCGCAGGTCCGTCTTATCACGCTTGCGCCCGCCCAACCTTCCTGCTTCGGGTGGCCTTCGAAAGCGGGAGTTGGAACGCTGCGGCTACTCGCGGGGATGCACAGAGAGAAAGGGAGGTTGAGAGCAGACGGACTTGGATCTCGTTGGTGACGCCGCAATACCTGCTTACCCCAGACTTTGCGTTCCCATCTCTCTCCCCGGCTCGTTCAGCCCGTAGATAGCCATCCTGCCATGGGTTCCCTACGCAGTAGGTCCATACTACCCCAAGATCTCGCATCTGCTATTTACCCACCCGGCAAGCTTCCCCCGCCCCAATCCAAGCCCGCCAAAAGCCACACGAATGCAATATATGTGGATGGCATGGCGCTCCCCCGGCAGCAAGGTTTCGCAAGTGCGCATGTGAGCCAACCGGAGACGAGGCGATTACACATTCCCATGCGCGGTGAGTAAGGGTCACCCTCATTGCTCAGAGTGCCTCTTGGCCTTTTCTTGTCTCTTTGCCGAGCTCTGGTACTCTTTCCCGACATTCGAAACCTTGTCTTGCACCATTCCCGAACATCCTCTTTCCCGACGGGCTTCTTCTTTCCCGAGGATTTGGAGAAATTGGAGACACTGGACGAATCATTGGTGAGAGAAATGCATCGGGCTCGGCTTTCGGCGGCCGTCACCGCTGCGGGTCCTGCGGAGAAGACGGGGGAAGAAGGTAAAGTTGGATGGCGGGGGAGGAATTCCGCTCCAGGTCCGCGGTTTACTCGTTTGGCAACGGCTTGAGGGCTTGGAGGATTTGACTCGTTGTGGGCTCGTTTTTGAAGAGGTGTGGGGGTTTGGAGTGTTATTGACTGGCAAGACGATAGTCATGGAGATACACAGATAGACACACAAATACATGCAGTAACTCCTAGGCTTCTCACCTAACTTGGGTAGCAATGCAATACGTTTAGATAAGGCACTCCGTACTTCCACAGCTCTGGATTCATCACAATAGGGTGAGAGGTATATTGGTACTTGTCGCAATCCGTAAGAAGCATGGTGATGACGGCATCTAGGTCGTGGTCTCGATGTGGAAGCTTGCCGTTTTCCTGTTCGGCGTTTGATTTCAGTACACAGTTCATACCAAAGCTTCGTCTCTCTCCACCGATTGCCTCCTTTTGGCACATATTCCAGATGTAGTATATCAAAAACAGGTGGAAGTAGGTAGAAGTGTTTCTGGCTCATGCGGAAGATCCCCGCTTAATACATCAACTTGGGTGTTTCTCAAGTATCTCAACTACCTACATACTCTATCACCAACAGCCTTGCTATGATGTCTTTAGTGGCATCGTACTTCTTTGAGAGAAAGGGGATATAACCTGCTTACTCGTGTGATGGGCAACAGGAATCATGGGTACCCGCAGTCCAAGGTCCTTTTCTATCACCACGGCAGACTTCCGTCGAGGCCGCACCCCTGGGAATCCAAACACCCACAACTTTCTATATACCGAATGGAGATGATCGACTCGGTGCGAACTAATCTGAGCTGGCCCATCTTCCCGGAGCATCAAATGTGTGCACTAACTGAAAATGGTCCGTATTAGAGGCCAAGACCTATCGTAGCGGACAAATTAGTCATACTCAAAGAGCGACAGGACCTATTGAGCCCCTGAGCAGGCAGATTCGCGATGGCGTGTTGACCTCATAAAAAACGAACCAAAATACAGAAGGTGCATCTCATGAGGCAAGCGTTTTGGTTTGGGTAAATAGTTAGATAGGCTCATGATAATTGCCGTGTGTGTTCCCTAGATCCAAAAGTGTGGTGCCAAGATATCTTACACATTGATACCTTGGGTAAAAGGTGTGTATGTGCGTGTGTACAAAGTCACTACTCTTCACCCTTAGCGGAGTGGTCTCGAAGGAATACGTCAACAGCGACGCCTGAAAGATAGACAGGCCGGCATTAAGGCCCAAGAAAGGTTGAAAGAAGCGGTATTGAGATAGGAAGAAAACAATGTGAACGGCGCTGACCGAGACGTAGGCTTGATGGACGAGCTCGAGAAGAATCATGGTCCAGCCAACAACAGCGGTGCGGAGGAATGGCATGATGGAAAGGCAGTGGCGGGTGTACATAGTAGAAACGTCCCCCAGCAGCAACTCTCAAGCCAAACACGCAAACACCCAGATGCTCATTGAACACGCTCTCGCATTGTATTAAGTATATACGCCCCCAACCTCCGCCATCGACATAAGAAAACATTCAACATTACAACCCTTCATCCAATTCCAGTCCCCCATAAACTTTGTTTTCGTTTCCATAAATCAATGATTGTAGTACCTCGGCTCGTTAAAGACGTGGTACCGGTGGTCCCGCACGCCCTGGCCGCGGAACATGGCCGGGAACCGCCAGCCCTGCGGCACCTCGTCCTCCGTGACGCGCTTATTCCGCGTGTTGTCGTCCACCGCCTCGATCTGCAGCGCCTCGTCCTTGGACTGCGGGATGACGAACTTGGCCACCTGCAGCTCCGTGTCGGTGATGGTGCTGCGGCTGACGCGCGCGTAGCCCGTGCGCTTGAGGCCCTTGTAGAGGATGTACTCGCACCAGCGGTCCCAGTCGGTCGGGTCGACGTCGTGCATGCCGGATGTGCTGCTGACGTAGGTGTTGTAGTTGCCTTGCAGGGGCTTGGTGACGAGGTAGGATAGCAGGACGGAGGGGTTCTTTGATTCGCCCATGAGCTTGGAGAGGTATTCGGTCTGCAGACGGCGGTCTTCGGGGTCCTCTTCCTGTCCGGAGTGGAACACGAAGACGTCGACTTCTTGGCCGTAGACGTCGAGGGTGGCGGCGATGGCGGGTGCGAGCTCGCCCACGGGACTGGGGAGCAGGTGGTGCGTCGACTTGAGAATCGGGAACTTGGAGAGCAGCGCGGAGCCCCAGGTGTGCTTGTTGGGGCCTGGGCCGTAGTCGACGTACATTCCGAGGTCCTCGGCAAGGAATTGCGTGGTATCGCGGTTGCCCATGATGATGCGCTGCAGGTCGGACTCGAGGAGACCTACCACGTCCAGCTCGAGTTCCTTGATGAGGTCGCGCATGCGGTACTCGGAAGACCACATGTCGTTGTCGAGGGAGAAGTGGATGGTCCAGATACCGGCCGTCATGATGCGATCTTCAGGGTGGTAGGGCTTGTAGTCGTTGGTAGGGAAGCGCATGAAGGCTGCGGCCAGGAAAACGATGTTGATGAAGGCGGCTGCAATTGTGTTGTACTTCTTGTGCTGCGACGGGGATGCGCGGCGGGTATCGCGGCGGCGAGCCTGCGAGGAGGTGAGGTCGAAGACACCGGCGCCGATGAGGATAAATGTGGTCATCATGACCCAATCAGTGTGCTCACGAACAAGGGGGCCACCAGGAACAAATGCGTAGGCGACGACCCAGACGTGGAACAGCACCATAAAGTTGTAGATGAAGAACCCGAGACCAAATGTCGTGCCAGGGCTTCTCTTGGCGGCGGTCGAAAGGAATGGCACAGACAGACCCATGAGGTAGAAGGCCGTGGTGAGAGCACCATAGTAACCGAACCAGTGGTGGTATGAGGTCAAGACAGCCGCACCAACGCAGCCAACGCCGTAGGCCGTCCACGAGCTCATCAAAGAAGGGCGGTAGAGGCCAACCAAGAGACCAGCAGTCATTGCGACAATAGTCATCCAGCCATAGGTGTTGGCAGTAGGGCCCCGGATCGGGTAACCATCCCAGACCCAGAGGATCATGGTGCTGGTATCGGAGAGCAGGGAGTGAATTCCGAAGAACAGACCGCCAACGCCAAAAGCAGCGAGGACCGAGGAACCGCCCTTCTTGGAGTCTTCCGGGATATCGCCACTAGTCAGGGGCGCTCTCCGAGTGAACCGCAGAGCAGCTACAACAGCAATGGCGAAGCCAGTCGCGTTCCAGCCTCCGTTGGCGGCGTGCATAACAGGCCATAGCGGGTTGTTGGTCCACCATATGAACTTGGCCGTGGATGAGGCGACAAGGCCAAGAGTCCAAGCCATGATTCTGGATTCGAGACGGCTCTGATGTGCTCTCTCGGACCAGAACGAAGCAGTCCAGCCAAGGCAAGACGTGGCCACGGCGAAGCCAACGGTGAAGAGACGGTAGGCAGGGTCAAGAACCTGGTACGCCAGCAGTCCGACCAGCGAGATGAGGTGGATAGCGCGCTGATTGTTGACGACGAGGGAGCGAACACTGCGAATGCCCAAGATTGCGGGCAAGATGGTTGACATAACAAAGGCCTCGTAGCCAGAGATGCCCATGTGCCAAAGGGGGAAGTACCACACCAAAACTCCCAAGCTGGTCAACATGGACCAAAAGATGAAGCCGTGGTAGACATCGGCGGCGGTGTCGAGTGCCTCGGTCCAGGTGAATCGGCCAGTCAACAGGTTTGCGCTCGCCTTTTCCTTCCTTGAAGCAAGTCAGCTGCTACACCCTTGATCACAATTTTCCACAAAACTTACTGCTTCTCAAGCACGGCGGACGGAACGGATGACCGGTTCTCACTATAGCAAGATTTAGATTGTGCTCTTCAACTGGATCTATTTTTTTGTGCCTGGTGTACAATATGTACAAGACTATCTCGGGAGCCATTGGACGTACCCCTTGCTTGCTCCCTTGACATCCTTGATCACCACTTCGAACGTGTTGAAGTCGAGAGCCGTCACGGCGTCAAAGGCAACGTCGAAGAGGATCAGAGCCCATTCGAAGAAGGCGTAAATCGTGTAAGCTGTGCGCGGTTAGCTATAACGCTCGTGCGCAGACCCTCCAAGGCCGAAAACCTTACCTCCCGCAACGCGGTGGACCTTGTGCTGGATGAAGAAGTAGATCAAGGGCACCAGGGTACCAAAGAAGGAGCTGGCAATCAGCTTGCGGTACTTGATGGCCTGGGGGTTCGGCGGGCTCAGCATGACGCATCCAATCGTCCACGGGAGGGATGCGACAATGTAAGAGATCATGAAGATGTCGTGCCAGTCGTGGTCGTCGGTCGAGGTTACGTAGGTGAAGCCACCGCACATGCATGTGCGCAGAATGCCCATCGCCAGGGTGAACTTTGGCAGAGTCTGTCCGGGTCTCCGCGTCAAGAGATACCACAGTCCGACGAGGGCGAATCGCGGGCCCGATGTGATTGCGATGAAGAACATGAAGAAGGACCGCTCGGGGTATCGGTCGCCAATTGTCGCGGAAACGGAGGGAAACCACTCGTCAGGGTAGCCGTACCACTCATTTTGGACAATCTTGTGGTAATGCAGCGAAACGCCTACAATGAATGCGCTGATGAAGGCAGCTGTCGTGGAAAGTCAGCTTTGGGAGCTTTCGCGGACGGTCGTACGACGGCAAAAAGTGCCCCGCGACAGCATCGCGACCAGCGGCGGCAACAACTCCGGGCGCAAAAGACTTACTGTAAGCTGTAACAGTATGCAGGTAGCTGATCCATTGGCCATTGAAGACCAGCGCGACGCCGCCGTCCTTGTCTTTGTACCTTGACGCCATTGCGAACCTCTACTTGCTCTGAACCTCTCTCGGGGGGATGGTTTCTCTCTCTGTTTCTCTCTCTCAGCTCAAACGACAAAAACAAAGAGAAAAGAAGCTCATCCGGGGGATCCGGGGATGCAATGACACGAGCTGACGAGGGGGGGCAAGAACTTAGAAGGATGAATGGAGGGGGAGAGCCGAGAGAAGGGCGGAAATAAGAAAGAATTGTGCCTGGCAATTGCACAACTAATTAACCAGCATGCCTCGGCGGCCCGCGGATGGGGAATCGATTGGATCGAAGGGAATCGCGTGGTTGGGTGTCGTGGGAGTTTGCAACAGTGCGGCCCCTGACCGTGGAGTCTTTGGAGAGAGAAGTTGCAAGGTTTCCGTGACGGTACGGAGTCTTTTCTGGTAAGGTTGTTGAACGTAATCAGTCCAAAATGTTTGGCGCCGACAGGGAAGATGACAGAAGCGGCACCCGTGGGACACGCGACCGGGAGACGACGGAGCTTTGAGCTTGCCGCTGATGGACCGATGCTGACGCTGAGGCCTGCGCTACCTTGGTGTACGGGGACAGCAAGGTGCTGATGCACGCAAGGGCAAGCTCTTCGGGCTTAAAGCTACTTGACAAGGTACCTCAAGGTGTCGGGGGTTAGTCCTAATTGGGACCGGGCGCGACAGGGGGAGCTTGGCGCAAGGCTGAAGTCCGTGACGTCCGTCTCATGGGACTCCTCCGTCCAGCCACAGCTACACGGACCACTCAGAGTCCACTCTCGGCCAGGGGAGCCACACCTTGCCAGATGCCCCGCTTTAAAGTTTTGGTCTACTTTCTCAGCCTTGTCAACTTTTTTCCTAGACTGGTTTTTCCCTCTTCTTGATCTGCAGCGTCAGGCAGAGTATCTTCGCAGCACATCTCAGCCAGGCGACTCGAATTCCGTGCTCGATACCACACAGCCGCAATCATGTCTGTCGCTGAAAAGGCCCGTTTCTACTTGGAGCGCTCCGTTCCCCAATTGCGCGAATGGGAGGAAAAGGAAATCTTCACAAAGGTACGCACGCCACCATGCAACCTAGAACCCCTCCCCCATCCTCGACCACAAGTCACGGCCAAACATCTACACCACAGTGTACCCTAACAAATCTTTGCAGGATGAGATCCGTACAATCGTGCAGAAGCGCAGCGACTACGAGCACCGCATCCTCGCCCCCCGCTCCAACCCCGACGACTTCACCGCCTATGCAAAATGGGAACAATCCCTCGAGTCCCTCCGCCAGAAACGCTGCAAGCGGATGAAGATTGGCCACGTCACGTCCCAGCACACCACTCAATCCCGCGTCCTCGCCATCTTCGACCGCGCCGTCAGCAGACACCCCGGTAGAAAGGACCTGTGGCTCGAGTACCTCAAATACACCGCCGACGTCAAGGCCACCAAGCGCTGGCGCCGGACCATGGCCAGCGCCCTCCGCATGATGCCCACCGACGCTGACCTGTGGATCTTTGCCGGCCGGCGCTCGGCGTCCAACGGGGACATGGGCGGCGCGCGAGGATACTTCATGCGCGGGTGCCGCTTCTGCACGAGCGAGGGCACGCTGTGGATCGAGTACGCGCGGTGCGAGATGGAGTGGCTGGCCAAGATGCAGGCTAAGAAGGGCGGCAGCAAGAAGAAGGCGGAGCAGGAGAATCCGCTGGCTGGCGAGAAGATGGACGACGACGACGAGATCAAGCTCATTGACGAGGACGATGAGGAAGACGAGGACGAGGACGTTCTGAGCCTCCCCGTGCCCGGCAAGGAGAAGAAGAAGGCCATTGACGAGGAGGAGAGCAAGGCGCTCAAGCACAACCCGGCCCTGGACGGTGCCATACCGATGGCTATTTTCGACATTTCGAGAAAACAGCCGTTCTACAACCCCGAGGTGGCCGAGCGCTTCTTTGACATGTTTGCCTCCTTCGCAAAGGTCTCGTCCGCGTCCAAGATTCTCCAGCACGTCGTCGATGTCATGAGGGAGCAGGACGCCGCTCACCCGGCGACGTGGAATTGCTACATCCGCCTGCCCCTCGTCGGCGTCAGCCCCGACACGCCCGAGTTCCCTCTCGGCCTTCGCGAGGTTCTGTCGCGCCTGGGCAAGGGACTGGACGAGACGTCCGACAAGGCTGCGCTGGAGAGCAAGTCGCTGGTGTGGATCGAGCTGGTGCTCCTCTTCAAGGGTCTCGACGAGGGTATCAGGACGGTTTTGGAGCACACGAGAGATCAGCTGCAGTCATAGCTCTGCCATTGCGCTGTGGGTATATGTTTGTTGACTATATATGGATGTTGGTACAAAACAAAAAGGTGGAAGAAAGAAGTATGGGTATTGAATAGTGTTTTCGGCGCAACACGTTGGGAATTAGAAGCGGCCCCCGGCGGGATGTATCCAGTATCCCGATTTCTTGATACCACTTGCAGAGTCAGTCAGCCTAATCAAACAAGGTCAATTAAAGACAATCCTCCTTCCTGCTCCCGCTCCCGCTACGCTGCTGTGTAATTGGGAAACTTCTTCGACTCCTCAACAGTCTTATCCCACTCCTTGTCCTCATCGAGCTCCTTGGCCATGCGGATGACTTCATCCCACTCCTCACGCGTGACCTTGTTGACGCTGAGACGAGACTGCTTCAGCAGCTCCATGTTCTGCAATGGGCCGTTACCACGCGACTCCTTGAGTAGGCTCAGCGGCACGATGCGTGGAAACTTGTGCTCGATCTTGACGTGGACGAGGCTCCATTTGCTCCCGTCGTGCGGAGCGCTGTCGTCGTAGTACGGGTTGTCATTGATGCATGCGTTCCCTGATAGCTATGTCAACCAAATAGTTTCATGAGTATGAGCTGGAAGGGGGGAGAACACACAGTCGGGCGAGTGCTCCTTGGCTATATTCATGATACCAACAACACCAGGCTCTTTACAATTCGAGTGGTAGAAGAACGCCTTGTCGCCCTTCCGCATCCCCCGCAGGTTGTTCCGCGCGACATAGTTCCGAATACCTGCGCTTTTTGTCAATCACTTGCTCCACACTTACACAGAAAAGTCCAGGGCGATGAACGTACCCTCCCAGCCCTCGGGCGTCTTCTTGGCCGCCAAATCGTCAATGGAGAACTTGATCTCATACCCATCCTCGATGCGAACATCCGGCTCAGATTTCATGAGCCAGTACCGCGAGCCCGGCGGATCCCGTGGCTCCGCCTCGGCGTTGACGTCCGGGACGGGCGCATCGCGGAGGGCCTTGAGTTCGTCCTTTGTCTTCTTTGGCGGCGCTTCCTTCTTCCCTGCCACCGGCTTCTTTTCATGCATAAGTATCCGTAAATGAGACCAAGAATAGAAAACGGAGCAGCTCCTAGTGATAGCCGGTGTGTAATTTCACTCAGCTTACCTTGGCTTTCTTGGCGGGCTTCGGCTTCGGCTCGTCCTCGTGGTCGATAGCCTCGGCTTTGGTCTCCTCTTCCTTCTCGATTGATGCTGCTGCTCTTCTTTTTTGACCTGCAGTGGCCTTGGGCGGAGGCGGAGATTGTGGAGTTTGCTTGTTGGTCTTCTTTTCTGTCTTGGTGGTGGGCTTGGGTTTCGCTGGCGATGGCTTCTTATCCGCTGGCGGGGCGGCCTTGTCCAGGCGCGTCGATGACCTCAGGCTGCGGGTGACGGCGGGCATTGTGAGAGCAGCAGCACGAGACTGAGAAGTGAGTTGAGTATGTGCGATTGGCAAATCAAGTAAGCACGAGGGCAACAAATGACTAGGTCTGTAAGTGAAGGTCGTCTGGCTTGTGATGCGTGCCAGTCGATGGAGCAAGCTCATCCCGGAGACGCGTAGCTGTGGTGGGTTTACCGTTCGAGACTGTGCAGCAGGTGGGACCCAAACCGTTGAACGGACGCATGGACCTCTGATTGATCACGTAATCGCCGCCTCGACAAACGTCCCGCGGTGACCGGTCACATTTTCATTTTCATCTTCATCGCTTAGGCCTGAACGAACATGGGAGTTGCGAAATCCCCTCAGCAACCCACTTCAACAAGGTATCCATAGTTAACTCTAAGTTGGGTCGATCGAGATCATCCAGCTAGTCATTGAAATGCATAAGATTTGACGCACTGCTTGTGATTTATGAACTACATTTTGCCCAGGTCAGAAGGCACAACGACTAAGACATGTTGGTAGGATCACGACCTACCTTGTCTCAATTACCACCAAAGGTAATCGCAGACCACAACTGCTTTTTGGAAACTTGTCTATGTGGTATCATGAGTCCTTCAGAGTTGCCGGATCGATCAGGGATCAACTCACATCTATATGGTCGTAATGAAGCTCAGGCAAATCTCATTCTTGGGTTTCTTTGATGTTTACCATACATGTATTCAAAAGGGCGCAAGGAGCATCACACTGACCCACCCAGCTGAGTCTCAAGAACCCCTTGCCAACATTCCCAATATCGCCAATATCGCCATCTTCGCCCACCATCAAACACCGTAACATAGCCAGACTCCCAACGCCTAAGATGTTAAAAGCATCAGAAACAGCGCTCGCCGCAATCGGCAAAACACCCCTTGTCCGTCTCCGCCGAATTGTCCCCGCAAACCACGCAGATGTCTACCTCAAACTCGAATACACCAACCCAACAGGCTCCCACAAAGACCGCATGGCCGCCGCCATCATCCAAGAGGCCGAGAAGAGAGGTGCCCTCAAGCCGGGCATGAAAGTCGTCGAGGCCACAGGCGGCAGCACGGGGTCTTCGCTCGCCTTCGTCTGCGCGGTCAAGGGCTACAAGTTCCAACCGGTTAGCTCCAACGCTTATGCAGTGGAGAAGCTCAAGACTATGGCGGCGTTTGGGGCCAAGGTTGATATTGTTCACAGTCCGACGGGACAAATCACTGCTGATTTGATTCCTTCCTTGATTCGGCGGGCGAAGGAGGTCGAGAGGGAGGGGAATGTGTATTCTACGGACCAGTTCAATAACCGGGACGCCTTGGTCGGATACGCGGCCCTGGGCCATGAGATCATTCAGCAAGTTCCAGAGGGCGTCGATGTCTTTTGCGCTGCTGTTGGTACCGCTGGATTGGCGATGGGTGTCTCGGCAGTCTTGAAGGCAGCTAGGCCAGAGACGCGCGTGGTCGTGCTGGAGCCCGCTTCAACGCCCGTCATCACAAGAGGTCAAGCTGGATCTCATGGCGTCGAGGGAATTGGTATTGGCTTCCTCCCCCCTCTTTTAGATAAGAAGCTGTATGACGAGGCGCGGGCCGTCTCGGAGGATGAAGCGCGTGCCATGTGTCGGCGTCTATCTAGAGACGAAGGTATTTTCGCGGGCGTGTCCACGGGTTTGAATGTGGTTGCTGCGATTCGGTTGGCGGCGGAGATAGGGGCTGGGAAGAAGGTGGTTACCATCGCGTGCGACTCGGGTCTGAAGTACTTGAATGGGGACTTATTCTCTACTCCTCAGTAGATTGTTTGTGAGTCTGTATAGAAGGCACTTGGGGTTCTCTCACATTGGAGACCGAATGTTTACATCGCTTTAGAACATGCTAAAGGCGTTGGCAGTGTCACTCAGGGGAAGTTCAGGGACACATTCGGCGGGAAGCGACGCACACGAACGCTCCCACGAAGAAAGTGGCAATTAGCGTAATGAAGAAGGAGTAGGAGACATAATAAAAGTTTGTTGTTGAATACGGAGTCAGCTAAAACAAAAAATAAAATGCCTTATAGAAGGCGAAAGAACCAAAACCGTCCCCTTCACCACAATCACTCTTGAAAAGCCTCACCAGCTTCGGTCAGACGTACCGAAAGGTTGAACCCTCGGGTGGCTTTGGTCGCTAATGAGAGGCGTAGTACCTCGGCAGCAGTCATCCTCCTATTTCTGGAACACAACGAGGTGAACAAGGTAGCCCTGGATGATGCTGGTGGTGTGGGCAGCAGGACCAGTGATACCGTTGTAGTAGCTAGTAGTGAGGTTGATGAGCTGGGGGTTCTGGTCACCAGTGGGAGTCTTGGCCCAGCGGAAGGTGTAGGTGACAACGCCGTTGCGAACGGTGGCGTTGACGAGTCTCAGGAGGTCCTCGTTGAAAGAGGGCACGACGGAGATTTGGTAGTCGCCCTCGGGCTTGGGGATGACGGCGGTGAATGAGGTCTCGCCTTCGGCGGGGAGGTGGAGATTGATGGGGGTAAGCACGCTGCCGATGTTGGTGTTTTGGATCTTGAGGTCCTTGCTCAAGTCGGCCGGGGCAGTACCCTTGAGACCAGTGTACTTGATTTCGATGGTCTTGGGGCCGTCGGCGGTTTCAACCAAGACGGTCTTGTTGTTGAAGTGAGGAAGAGGGAGGGTGATGGGGAAAGGGGTAGTGACAGGCGTGATATCCTCCGGTCCAACAGGGCCCGGGCCTCCGAAGAAACCCTCCAGAGCGAACTTGAGGCCACCGAAGAATTCGAGACGTGCGAACTTGGCGTTGATGATAAGACCATTGGCCTGAGCCGTGAGGACGAGCTGATGGGTCTTGCTCTCGTAGACAGCGCCGATATCGGTAGCTGAGAGGAGACTAGCCATTGTAGAGATTTGGAGTTGAAAGATGGAGAAGAAAATCGAAGTGAAAAGTCGAGACCTGTTTCTGAAGATGGAAGAGACGATTGAAGATGTATATGCTGATGATGAGGACACGACGGTCGATTGGGCAAGAATATCTCTACCTTTTATACCACAAATCTCGAAGCATAAATATGGTCGTGCTTCTTATTTTGTCACTCATTACCATTCAGCCGCTTCCCAACTCGGATTGGAACATCACGGAAGAACCATCAACATGCCAAAGCAGCCCATCACCACTGCTGCGGCTGAGGATGAACATATCGGTTGGCATTCGGACTGGGAGATCATCTAGCCAGAAATGGCAGACTCGCGTCAAGAAGGATGGTCTAGATCTCGTTTTCGTCTCGTAGCAAGTCCTTGGTTCCGCCTACCAGAAGAATCACTTCGAAGCGCAATATCTTACTTTCTTCATCTCACCTTGGACTCCATCCCATTGATACTGCGGACTAGCGATCGATTTTTAATCCATTGCCAGTAATATCTTCTGCCTTAGAATCTTTTGCAATTTAACACCCTATTCTCTACCCTGAATCAGAAAGCTCAAAGACTACAGATAAATACTATAGTACATACGCCCTGTAGTCTGGCATCAAACTGACGTGGCTTGAATATCAACCCTTGCCGATCACCACTTCTTGCTTCCATCATACACAAACCTGGAATCATGTGGCTGGCTCAAAGATTGTAAAGGGAAATCATATGTCGTTCGGCAGCCAATAGCCAGGAGACGTGGCTGGGCTGCAAGCATGAACCTCAAGCAATGAGAAGGACTGCCAGAGCATTCCACCGCGGACTATCAACGACAGCTGACAGAAACCTGCGGCCCGAGAACTTATCCCCGGGCGGTGGGCGGTGGCGCTTCGAAAACAACCGCAACCCACGAATCGAACGACGAGGCGCCTCTTCTATGGCACGACATTCCTCCAACTGTCGCCATCGGCCATCCTCTCCCCCGCGCCAAGGGTCGGGTTACTAGGGCGGCCCGCCTTCAGCTGCCGCCCCTAGCGTGTAAGTTCCAAAGCCACGAGTGCCAGCGTTCAGTCGAGAACATTTCGAAGACTCCTGTACTTGGCGTAGTCTGTATCATAACCTGTGGCCATGTGCGCTGGTTGAGGAATGGGGAAGGGTGCTCCCGCAGCAGCCCGCTGGCATGGTCCAGAATGAACGCCGCACGCGGAATATCAGGGTTTGAGACATTTGCGACTGGCGCAATTCAGCCGCAAAATTCGCTCTCAGCCACGCGAGGTTGCGAAAACCTCATGATTGTGAGACATGATTTTGAAACGGGAACAAGTTGCTCCTGTTGACAGCAGCTGGGTGAGAATGTGAGGGGACGGCTTCACCCATGGCCACGTCTTGATGCTTGACCGTTTTCCATATCGAGCGTCTGTGACCAGCCCCTCGACTGGCTCTGTTAGTAGTGGATGCCGAGGGCAGAATCTCTTTCACACACCTAGTTCTGTCTATGGCAGCCGCACTTCCTCTGGCCGAAGATTTCCGTAATGATTCTCTGCAGGTATTTATCCCAATTCCGAAGTTTATAATAATGTTATGTCATCAGGTGTCGAGTTACATATGCTGCAATACATTGAGGGAATTTAACTTGCACACAATGCCATCATCAAAAAACCCTACCTGAGTATCTAGCTACCTAGCATTAGCAACATGGATACTAACAATATTAGACATATGGTCGGTTAAGAATCAGGATTTGGATAAGCCTACATGTAGTATCATCGGTTTGAAGAATATTTATCTTAGGGTTGAGTCAAAACTTAAGAGTCATGACGGACCCGGAGGATGCAGGATACACCTTTGTGCCATTGAACTGCCATTGGATGCGTTGTGCCATCTGTTATGCCAAGTATAGCTGGCTGAGGCACCGGGAAGTTGTCTATTTGAAACGATACTCTCCTTCTTTCGGTTCGACCGTTGCAAAACACAAAAGCTCGCATTGGTATCAAATCGAAGCGGCTAATAATGGCATCAAGCTCTCGCATCCCCATACATATGGCGCCAATAAGGTGGTCGATGACAAGGCGGAAAACATTTTTTGGTGTCATGATAAGCAATGCAAACTTGGTAGGGACTCGGATATATATATACGTGTACAATGTGATGAGAAGCAAAACCGCTAAGAAATTTGGCCGATAATCGTCGCAGAAGTTTTTAAGTCAGTAGTTGCTACTAATAATGTAGAGCATGTTGTTAAGTATGCACCCTGAGTGCGAATCTACATAGAGTCAATGCTCACGCTATGATTCCGGGGTCTTGAGCTCAGTTGATGACGAAGGTTGTGTTAGCAATGTTTAACTTGGCACTGATGTCGACATCTCGAAAGCAGTACCTAAGGTAGCTCAACAATAGCTCTATAGGTAAGCGGATATGCCATTGTGTAATTTCCTCATGAGACATGCAAGATGCACCAACATTAGACGATTGGATCAATATTTAATAAACCAACATTAGGCGATTGGATCAATATTTAATAAACCACATGCAAAAAGTTTTGATGAAATTTGCGTGAGGGTACGACATAGCAGACTAGTTCTTGTGCTTTGATAAAACAACGAGTGTTGTCCCAGTAGAAGTTTAACAAAGTAACTCAATGGGAAAACAATCAATGCCTGTCCGTCTTGCTCATCTCGATGGTGACGGTGAAAGCATCTGTCCGTACAATCTTCCCATCAGAGTCATGCTGCTCGAGGATGCTCTCTTGACTACCCCTTCCAACAACTGTCGTCTTGCCAACGCTGTTGAAACTATCCGCGTCGAATCCCTCTTGAGAAGCCTTCTTGACAGGAGTTCGAAAAAGTCCCTTGTTCGTCCCCAATCTGCCACTGAGTCTCGATTTGGAGTTTCCTGACAAGTATTTGCCGTTACCTGAGGAGAAGATGCGTTTGCCGAATAGGAGTTCGCCGAGGGGTTGCAGGACAGGGATGCATGCGGCTATGATAATGATGCTGCCTTCCACACTACAGAGCTCAGGTTAGTTGTTGTGAGTCTTGAGTAAGGAGTTCTCCGTCTTACACTGTCCAAATTACAAGCTCAACGGTGTCATCTTTATCACAAAGTGTCAGTTGCTACTGCGAAATCGCTTGATCGAGATCCAGGACTTACATGTGTAATCCGAGCTTGTGAGGCTTGGGAGTTTGATACACTTGTAGATGACAACAATTCCCGAACTAAAAGAGTCTCAGTCAACTGTTGTCGGGGTGCGACTCAAACATTGAAGCCTTACAGTGAACCAAAACCGAGAGCTACGCTGAGTACAATCTTCTTCCTTCGGTTCATTTGTAATTTCGACAAGACGACGGCGGGGTACACGGAAAGGTAGACATCGGCAAAGGCACAAAATGCTGGATTTGTTAGCCAATCCAAAGCTATTCCTTGAGTGGTAATCATAGTAGCTTACCTCCTGAGTACGTCGCGAACGATACAAGGATCCACTTGCTCCAACATTTACCAGACACTGATGAATCCCATTGAGAACGTGCTGGTGAACATTGGGCAAAGATGATCGTGATGAACCCAACTAAGTTGACGACGCAAATTATGGACAAGGCCCAAAGAAACCTCTTGTGCCATCTACTTGGGTTCAGAATTCGGGTGAGCAACGCGACGACGGCGAGTTTCGGGATGCCGAATGAAAGAAGGCCGGGCGGGTAACCGGCAATGCTCCAAAGCATGGCACCTGACTTTTCATCGACAGAAAGGGTATCGGCATGGCGTCCATATCCGTAGGAAACAGCAACTGCTACAGTTGCAACGTTCATCCAACCGCAAACCTAAAGTCACCACAGTTAGTTGAACGATGCTATTTCTCGATCTGACAGATGATCATTTTGAACTCCACTTCCATAGCG